ACCCACAATTTTTAAAGCTGTGGGTTGTTTTCCTAATTCTTCATCTATCGCCTAGTCATAGAAAGCTGCATTCTTAAGTAAATTGCTTAGATAAAGAAGTCTTTCGTAAGTCAGAGCAGATTTTTTGAAGCACGGTTTCAAATACAGAAAGATTATACCTAAATGTGATCATAAATACTTTCAAATACTGGATAGATTCTTTAAATAGAAGAAATTAATTTAAATTCAGTTATGCTTACCATTTAGGATTATAATTTAAGTCGTCTTTTGTTGCATAACTACTCTCCTAAACCCACCCCTTATGGTACTGCATGAAGAGAAAGGGACACGAAAAGCATGTACCTGAACTTCCTTTTTGTTTCCCAAAGACTCTACTCTGTCAATAAAATCATCAAACTGCAATTTTGGAAATAATCTATGAGCCCAATGTTCCATATGTCGTATAAGTGTCTTCAGGTCCTCTGCCTAGAACGTAAAACAAGACATCCAGCTGTTAAAAGTTGATTATGTCAGTAGACTGCAGAGGGAAACACGCCAGTCATGTTTCTGAAAATATTCAGCTTTTGTAGCTCGAAAAATCTCTTGAAAAATCTATACAATATAAAAGTTTTTAAGTGCAGTTTCAAGCTATGAGAAGAACAGCGAACAAAGGTCAGGAAAAGCATTTGCATTTACAGTATAAAACATTTGATAGGCTTCTGAGAAGTTACCCCTTAAGCAATCTATATCCAAACCAAGACTGAAAATTCATGGTGGCACGGTCAGCATATATTTTGATGTTCAGAATATAGAGAAAAACGTACATCTAAACATACAACTAAATATGAAGATCTCTGCTCACATCACCAGTTTTGTCTAATTTCTTTGTGCCTCCAGTGGTACAAAGAATTTATACCATAACTTCCTTTGTAAGCTAAAGACACACAGGTTTCTTTACAAATGTTCAAATAGTCTATTTAATTTTTTTTTTCAAAAAAAAAAAAACCAAAAAAGAGATTGTTTTAATGGATGCAAGATAATGAGATAATTTCTAGAGAAACTACTGCCTTCTCTTTGCTTAAGTGGTATGTCACACTTTTTAATATTAGAAGCTTTGGGATACAGGCATCACAACAGCCAGAACATTTTCACTAATTGAGGAAATCTGATCATGAAATGAAAATGCTTACTGACTCTTAAGAAATGCCTTACAGTCTTATAAGCCCTTTCCAATTTCAAAAGCATCTTTCTACAGACAAGTCACAGACATGATATTCTAGTTCCAAAGCAGAGGACAGTAGTTTAAGATCAAAATGCTGATTCTGTGAAAGTCTTTTTTTTTTTTTTTTAAACTCACAACTACAAAACTCGGCAGGCTACATTCCAATGATGTTAGAAGGCTGCACGTGGTAGTCTAACCAGAGCTTAGTATCAATCCTCCCTGTACAAGGACAGCAATCAGTCTAAACTAAGTCCCCAGAAAACAAAATACAAATTCAGTATTTCTTACCTCATGCCCCTTACCCTTGAATTTTGTGTTGTCAAATATGTGTCTTAAGGCAGGAAGTCCTCTTTCTGAAACTAACCTGTTATTATGGAAAGATCCAAGTTATTTGAAACCCGTACCTACTTTTTTGCATCAAAATCATTCCTCTAGTCTAAAGCTTTCTGTGAAGCTCTATTTGAAAGACATAGGGGTTTAGAAGTCACTAAAACACAAACACAGAACCGAAAAACCAACACACACGCACAGAGACCCACACAATAGGATAAAGACTGCAATAAAGAGGGAGACCTTTTTGGAAAGTCACCGTACAAATAGTCCCTGTCCAAGCAACTTTTTGATTTTAATTACACAGAACAAAACAGAAAGGCCAGTCCACAGAAGCTCAGATTCTTTCCATTTTTTATATAGACCATACCCCCAGTGTTTTTTTAGTGGAAAGAGCAAGGGAAATACTGAAATCCTTAACTTTTGCGCACACAGAGTTTACCCAGTTTGTACAGATGTCACATATAAATGTACTTTATATAGTACTTTAGATTCTTACACTGAGGCTTTATTCTGAAGTGCACTTCAATTAAATAATAAGAAAACCACAGTCATAGGTCTGAGCCAAAATAAAGATGATACAGCTGAAGGATGAGAGTCCTATGTATGAAAAATAAATATCTACAAACAAGTTATTAGGCATGTGCTAAGCCCCAAGTAACCATCAAGAAAGTTTGACTAATAATAGTATTATATAGGCAAGCAAGGAATAAAAAGGTTGAAATGCAGCATGCAACAACAGGAACTTTCATCTCCAAAAATCTTGATCTTTAGCTTGGGGTAGATAAGCACTTTAATCATTCCCCGACAGCCATGTACGAAATACATCACAGAAAGAAATAATCTGTAAAAAACAAAAAAAACAACAAAAAAAATCACCTTTGGGCATCTAGTTTAGGTATTGGTCTTTTAACTGCTTTCCGTGTAGTCGCAGAAGAATCCTTCGTTTGTGACTGCTGGTTACCATCTGTTTCTAACAAAAGAAATATACTGTCAGTATGTAATGCAAATTACATCAACTAGCGTTACACAACATACATTTTTAAGTTTCTACCCTATCTCAAAGGCACTGGGCACAAATAGTCAAAGAATCAACTTTTCTAGCAAAGAAGCACACTTTCTTTTCAAAGACCCTCGCTTTACAACTTGTATATTTCTGATCAGAAATGTATTGAGAGTAGCTGCTGCCAGTTCTAAGAGTTAAAAACCTCAAGTGATAAGAGATGTTTCTCAAAATTTCCATGATAAATCTTAGAGGCCTGAAACTTCACTATCACCTTCAAAAATAGAGAAAGGGGTAACATATGAAAACAATGAGCTTGCATGTCTTAAGAACAAAATTTTATGTGTTTTCATTAAGGCTGTATGTATACTTTTGACTTTAACAGGTAAGACACAACTGCCCACCTCAGCTAACAACTAGCAATTAGTTAACATACTGATTTCTTCTTTTACATTTGTACCTTTGAACATCAGGAAGTCAGAAGTTTGAACTCTCCTTTTCATATATCGAGGAATTCAATCTATTCCAAACCATACTTTCTAGTAAACAGACATAGCAGGGAATCAAGGAAAACGCATACTTAACATTAGGTCTACTCATATTTGCCTATAAATAACACTGAAAAGAAATCTTTTGAGTCTTCTGTTAGCCAGTTCAGTATACTGGATGGCTGTAAGATCATCTCAAACATGAACAGCTTTAGTTTTAAGTTTCACTTGTCCTGAAGTGCCTTGGACTTTTCCTAAATCGCATGCTTTACCGAAACAAGTAACATCTCCCAAACTACTATATTTAGCACTCTTACCTTTTCTCCACTCAAGGTAAGTCATAGAGGGTAACTATAGATCACTGTAGTATAATTATCTTTACTGATATTTTGGCAGAAAAGCTTGAATTTTTAAAAGATCCATTTGTACTGCAGATGTTTTGATGGACTCTACAAAAACAAACTTTTCCCACAAGCTTGGATGTGTAGAATCATGTATAATTTAAATTTATTAAGTGCTTTCTTACTTATGAGGCTATTTTTATGTAAGGCTGTATATAGAGAGAGCTATTTTTATATAAATAATATAGTCATAACATATAAGAAATTCAAGGTAGTGAATAATACAACCAAGAGTAAAATTGTTTTCATAGCCTGTATTGCAAAATTGGCTCTTTAAGGGTCACAGGTGTTCACCTCCATTAGCTAGAGCCCATTCAGCATCATCTTTTCCTGGAGAGGTAGGAGGTGGAAGAGGTGGAAATGTTTCATCTTCTGTATTCTCATAATCAGGAAGGTCAAACAAGTTGTTCTCTAAGGGATCTATCATTGCCACAAATTAACTGTTTTCTCCTGCAGGAAATAGCAAAAACATTTAAAAAGCAGCAGTGAGAAGCAGCAGCTAAGTATCAATTATACACAACACATCCATGGGTTCCTGAAAAATACTTGCCAGTTAAAAAAACAACAACAAACAAACATCACCATCCAAAAAGTTATGTAGCAGATACCATGTAAAAGGATGACACAATCCAGTCTCATGATGTCAGATAAGGTTTTGATAAGAGTTTGTCATGTCTCAACTCATCAAAGTTATTTGGGAGGGGCAGGAACGGGTCACAGGAATACAGTTAAAAAAAAAAAAGAGGAAAGAAAGTAACTAAAGCGCTTATTAAGACAGCTGTTTTCCTTCAAGTCCTTGAAAAATCAAAGATTCCTGGGGGGAGGGGTGATAATTCCTCCGATTTACAGCTTACCCACTCAGAAATGCAGTCCGGAGGGGGATCCCCCTTTGCCACTTGCTTTAGCACAGCTAATTCCAGAGACTCGCGCACAGCAGCCCACGGGGGCTCACCACGCACACACGTGGCTTCGCGAACAGCTCTCTTTTTTGAGAGAAAGTTGCCGTTTTAGGCACAGGGGAGCCCAAGCAGCTCCGCCGGCACTGGCCTCCGATGGAGAAAGCGAGCTCCCTACCTCTGAGCTG